ACTATTTAGTATATAGAAGGTAACACTAAGGTTCCTTCTGGACTGATAGAAATCAATATCTACCGGTTTTCTCTGAATAGTGACCTGAATAGCGTTTACAAGTGCTGCTGCGCTGGATAGCGAGCGCTTGAATAGCCCGTGTGCCCTTATGTATTTCAGCTCGTAGCTCCGTTAATATTGCGAATTTTAAAAAATCCTTTTACAGAAATATTCTACACATATGTAGGAATAAAAATAAGCAAAAAATTGATTTTTTGAAGCCGACAAAGGTGAAAGCCCCCTTAATGATTATCTAATTATTGATTTAATATATAATAATAAGTTTTCCGGCGCCCAGACATGGCGCCTTCCGATTACTACCTATTCCGGTCGCTGCAGCATCATTTGGCTGATACACATTTCGTGAGATTTGAAGAGATACGAAAATGCATTGATGACTTTATCGCTTCGAAGCCGGTGAGCTTCTATCGTCAAGGAATTCGCAAGCTATTCGAAAGATGGCAAAAAGTCGTTGATGCAAACGGGGAATATTTCGCTGATTAATATTTTTTTGTTTGTTTTTGAATAAAGATTGAATTTTACAAAAAAGCTCAGAACTTTTTTGTACACTTAATAACAGTTTTACGCGCATTTTTAAATTTGCAATGTGCAAATAAACTTCTTGTGCTACAAGATTGTAGGATTACATTTACAATTAAATATAAGTGTATAGAAATGATACAATATAATGTAACGTGAAATAATATTTTACGTATAGAAATAATACTTTATATAATTACATTATTGCAAATTCAAATTTTAAATTTACAACATAATATTCGAAAATACTTATTTTGATTTTCATATTTTCATTTACTAATAACTTTTTATTATTATTATTGAATATAATCTTCCTTATTTTTGAATACAGTTTCGCGAATTTATTATTTTTTCAAATAATTTTTAATATCGACTGTTTGAGATATTCAATGTCTAAAACTGCAATGATAGTTGTAATTTTACACGTAACTTTTTTTTAAATATAAAAGAATTATTACGCAATAATTAAATAATTAATAATCATATTTAAATAATTAATTAAATAAATAAATAATCATTGAATAATCAATAATTAATTAGAACGAGAGGGAAAGAAAGAAAAAGCGCGACGTATAGAGAGACACCGCGGTCTCTCACTCGCACTAGCGTCGAGTGTGTGAGACAACAAAGGGACCGAAATCGGTATCACGTTCGATTATGCTTTCTCTCTCGATCATGCGTCTCGCGTTAAGAATGCAACATCGAATTACCTCCACTATTTTTTCTCTCCGCGATCTCCTTCGCGCTCCGCGGAAACACGGACGTACGCGCTTCGTGTGTAGCGGCTGCGCGCCGAACGCACAGACATCATTCCCGCCGGGAACATGCGTGTACATTAAACAGTGGCGCCTCCGTGACAGAAATAGCAACCGTAAATGAGAACGAGCAACGACGATAATGACGTTTCTTAAAATAAAATTTCCAAATCGAACTTTGTATAGCAATATCTCCGCTCGCAGGAGACGTAGCAGAAAAATAAAAATATTTTTATTATGCAAGTCGAACACAAGCTATCGATCAAGCCTACTTAGAACTTGATAAGTTTAGCTGTTATTGAGATCCGATTTCGGATGCTCGCATCTCGCCGACTCGCGTAAAGTCACACGGCAGTGTTCTCGGTTGATTTGACTACCGTGTCTCCTGATTTGAAAAAGAAATATGTTTTGTATAATTCAATTTGAAGTTGTAAGCATTTTGATATAATCATTTCTAATTAGATATAAACTTATTCTTCGAAAAAAATTTCAATATAATTTTACATAATTGTACATAAAATTATTTTGATATAATTATATAATTAGATCTAAACATTTTATCCGAAAAGAATTTCAATATAATTTTATATGAAATTATAAATATTTTGATATAATTGCATATAATTAGATATAAACTTTTTACCCAAACAAATTTTTAATATAATTTTATATAATTTGATATGAAGTTATAAATATTTTGATATAATTGCATATAATTTGTAATATTAATAGATCTCATTATATATAATTATATATAATTATATTTAATATGATAGCTATATGATATAATTATATATGATTAGATATAAACTTTTTTTCCCGGGCGTGTTTTAATGCGACCCGGTCGTGCCAAGTTTTTGTATGTCTGTTTGATCGTAAAATCACTCTATATTTAAAATATATCGCTCTATTTAAAATATATAGCAGAACGCGTGACAGAATAGTACAATTATATATATCATGCAATATTGTTTTGGAATTCTAATAGTTATCAGTTAAAAAACATATGTTCAGTGTAATAATGTTTAATGAAACATTATTGTTATATGAAGTATCAAATCCTTTATAGTATATAATTATTCTATTTTACAAAACATTGAAATATAATAATTTATATAACTTTGTGCCAATTATTGATATCAAATCTTTTATACAAACGGTATGCATGGTATTATTTAAGAAATATATGATTTGATTGGATAGGTATTATTTGAATTGAGTCAGGTAATGCAATTTTATGATATCATTATATTTTATGATATCATTATATTTTAAAAAGAATTAGAACTACTGTCATTGGAGTTTTAGAATAAAAAGACTTTAATAGGATTATAAATATACGTGTCACACGATTTTATTTTTTAAAAATAGTTATATATTAAACATTCCAGATAACACAATTATAACGTGGCGCCACTTTTTTTGATATTAAATCTTTTATACAAATAATGTATATTATTAGAAGTAAGTATTCGATATTATTTGAACATTAGACATAAGACTGCATAATTTTATAATATAATACTCGAATTGAAACAGAAAAATTCTTGCCTGTAGAGATATGTGTTTTCAATTTTATTTTTATTTTTTAAGAAGATATAATTGGCGCCAATAATTGATAATAAAATTTTAAAAGAAAATTAAATAAAATCACTTGAGTTGGAAGGAAGTTTTTAATAGACACAAATATATTATTTATATTCCAATTTGTATGAAAAAAATTTTGTAAAATTTTTTTTCTATTAAAAAGTAATACTTTCATATAATAATTTTTACATACACACTGCGTACACTTGATTTTTTTTTACTTTTTTATAAAAAGTAAGTTTTTACATTTATACCAAATTATTCTTAACGGATTATGATACGCAGCATCTCGTTTTAAGAACAACACCTAAATTAACCTCTGTAAATACTCAATGCCTTATACATACAGTTAAATATGTAGGGTATTTCGTAACATGCAGGACCCACTTTAGGAGTGGATAGGAGGCAAAACAATGAAAAAATTCATGTGAACGTTTGTCTTATTCGATCTTGTTTCAGAAATAAAAATCTAATGGATAGCAATTGGTTCGCGGCGGTTCGTCTATTGGGCTCGCAGTGTACGACGCGTTAATCGCTGTTGTCGCGTGAGAGGTGTTCTTTCAAATGTCAGGAGTGAAAAAAATGCTCGCTCTTGACTTTGAATTTTACACGAGAGACAAGTATACTTGTCAGGAACTGAGAATGCTCTGTCCCGTATGCTCGTATTGTTGGAGGAGGCGTTGAGACTGAGAGCGCCCTGTCTCAGAGAAGCGAGAGCCAAGTATGCTTGATAAGGATTAAGAATGCTCAGTCCCGATTTTTTCGCTTTACGGAGGATGATACAAGAGTATGCTCGACGGAGATTTGAAATGTCTGATCTCGATTATTTGATATCAATCGGAGATGGAGACATATCGGAGGATCAGATCGGTCTGGTCCCTTGGCAAAATTCGGTCGAGTTTATATCGTTGTCTATTATTTTGAGAGTCGCAAAACATTGTAGAGTCGTCAGCGCGCGCGTGGCGAATGCGTGTTTTCGCGCGCAACGATCGGTTCAGTGCGGGTCGGTTATTTTTGGGCGCGGAGCTCAAACGCACTTATACTAGAACTGTGCGCGGAAAGCGTATCGTTATAACTTATTAAATATTATTTTTTCGGGATGATATTATTCTCATGATTTATGTAAAAATTGTACAGGGGAAGATATAATATTTATAAATAAATTAACGTTGACATGAAATACTTATCATTCATTTACAATTATTTTTAAAACAAAATGGTAAATTAATAAAAATAGATCGATTTAACTTGCGTGCAGTACCAACAACTATAATATCAGTAGGAGGACAATTTTATAAGGTAATGGATGTCATTTTTCATCATGGATCATCTATTGAATGGATCATCTATTGGTTATTATATTAGGTGTACAAAAAAGTTCTGAGCTTTTTTTAATTTATAAATATTAATTTATAAAGTTTAAAAATACTTATTACAATTTATTTATAAATAAATGAATAAATTTATTTTAAAAAGTTTATATATATATATATATATATATATATATATATATATATATATATATATATATATATAATTTAAGCAAACCTTTGACACTGTCAGAAAAAATTACTTAGCGATCTCTTAATTTTGGGAATCCCGAAAAATTGATCCAGATCATAAACATGACCTT